GCGAACTGGAGGCCGCCCTGCACAGCCGCCAGGTGAGGCCCGCCGGGCACCCGGGCCGTCCTCCGCGTCCCCTACCCAAAGCTGTGGCCTCCATCCTGAAGGCCTCCCGCCCCTGCTCGGCGCCGCAGCGATTCCCAGCGCACCCTCCCCGGCCCAATCCGAAGCCTAGGTGACCTCCCCCTGTGCTTGAGCCTCCGGCCTCGCCCCCCAGCGCTGGGCCTCGCCCATCTCCTCGCTGCGCACTGCATCCAGCCCCTGACCTCGCGCCGCAGCACCCCTGAGCCAGGCTGAGAAGGAGCAGCGCAGACCTGGTCCCCAGGCCGGTCCAAACTCTTGACATCGCAGCTCCGCCTCTGCCTGACCAGGCCCCTCTACCGGACCCCTAGCTCTGACCCTGACAGAGCACAGGAGAGGTGGACAGGCCCTTCCCACCTGCCCCCTCCCCATCCCTGCGGGGACAAGTAGGCCACCCCCTGCCATTTCCACTGCCTGTCTGCCTTACTTCGCGCAGTGACTCCCAACCCTGTTCAGCCCAGTGGTCTTGTCTCTGCCTCTCCTTACTTGCCCTGTGCTGAGTGTCGCATCTCCCCCAGCACGACATTGAACAGGAGGACCCCCGGGGGCGCACTCCCCTGGAGCTGGCCGTGTCCTTGGGGAACCTGGAGTCTGTGAGAGTCCTCCTTCGACACAATGCCAACGTGGGCAAAGAGAGCTGCCAGGGCTGGGCAGGTACTGCAGAGGGCAAAGGGGCTCTCTTGAGGCTAGCAGCGGGGTTGGCGAGTGGCCATTCCCGGGGACTTTCAGAGAGCACCCCTCAGCAGCCCGGTGCCCCCAGTCCTGCAGGAGGCGGTCAGTACTGGGGACCCTGAGATGGTGCAGCTGGTGCTCCAGTACCGGGACTACCAGAGGGCCACACAGAGGCTGGCTGGCATTCCGGAACTGCTCAACAAACTCCGCCAGGTGCAGCAGGGCAGAGGAGTGTGGCCAGGAAGAGGGGTGGCGTGCCATGGCAGGGGGCAGTGACAGACTGCATGGGGGTCACCCTCGTCACTCGTGACAGGCCTGGCCTTGGAAGGGCACCCAGCCTGTGCAGCATGCTTTCCTGACACTCTCAGCGAGGTCCCTCTCTTTTGACCTCAGCCCAGGGCCACGCAGATGAAAGTGGGACCTTTGGGAGGAGACCCTCAGCTGGCCTTGAGGGTCCCCTAGTGCCAGAAATCTCAACAGAGCTTTACACCACGGGCCCCCTGGTGAATGCAGATTTTCTGGAGGGAGGGTTTCACCCGACTTCACTGACGTGGCCTGGATTCCTGGATTATCTGTCCCCGCTTTTCAAACTTTGGGGGGCGGGGCAGAGGTGAGCTGAGAGAGCACACTATCTCCTGCTCCCCCCCAGGGGCAGGCCCTCAAGGGGCCCCTGTGCCCTCTTTACAGATGAGCAGACAGGTGCTCCCCCAGGGCCCCCCAGAGGGCTAGTGGCCAGGTGGAGACTGGCCCCCAGGCCTCCAGATGCCTACAGCCTGATTGCCTGAAGACTTTTTAGGGCCCCACGTGGCCCACCCTTTCCTGAGTGGGGTTTGGTGGGGGTGGGGCTACGGCAGAGCCATGGAAGTGCGTCAGGACTTGCCGAAGGGTGGGCTCCCAGAAGAGGACCTGTGGACAAGGAGCCCCCGGCCCACTGGCCCCCGGCACCCGTCAGGGCCCTGACAGGCCCTCTGGTCTATCTCAGGCTCCCGACTTCTACGTGGAGATGAAGTGGGAGTTCACCAGCTGGGGTGAGTGGGGGCTGCTCGGCCTGGGGGAGGGCCTTTGGGTGAGAACCTCAGTGACCTCTGTGCCCTCCGCAGTGCCCCTGGTGTCCAAGATGTGCCCAAGTGACGTGTACCGTGTGTGGAAGCGGGGCGAGAGCCTGCGCGTGGACACCAGTCTCCTGGGCTTTGAGCACATGACCTGGCAGCGTGGCCGGAGGAGCTTCATTTTCAAGGGCCAGGGTGAG